TAATTAAGTATTTTAGATTTTTTTAATGCGTACATTTTATTTTTCATCCACTTTTCCTTTTGTAAACTTTTCATTAAAAAAAAAAATACTCCAATTTTAATGAAATTGAAAATGTCTGAAAACTTAATTTATTTTCAAGTCAAACAATTCGGAATTACTTTTTCTTACTGACTAATTTGCTAGATTATAACTCATTCCTTCCTTTTTTTTTTCTCGATTTGATAAACAAACATATTTTCTTGACATAATCAAACATTTGTAACAATCAAATTTTTTAAAATTTTTTTTCTTTTTCTTTTTTTATTTTTTTTGCTCTTTTTTTTTTAAATTGCATATATAAAAAATATGAAAAATTTACATTGCAATTTGATAGTTATTGTGCTAAGTAAAATTTTAAACTAAATTTTCGTCTTTTTTTTTTTCTAGCATTAAAAACTTCCAGACATCGTGACAAATTGCCTCAATTTTCTTTATTTTGAATTAACTAAAAGTTAAAAAAAAAAAAAATATTAGCTCGCAACTTTAAGCTATCACGAAAAAAATTGATCAAAAATCAAATTTAATTGATTTTTTGTGCGCAAATTTTGTTCAGATTTTTCCCAAATTTTACTTGACAAGTTTTTATTGAATAATGGCTAAAATAAAATATTTAATACCATCAGGTGTAAATATAAATGAAAAACAAATAAACAAAGAATAAATAAGACGACATTTGCGCATCGATTAGATTATACAAGCAAATGACTGATTGAAAATAGCAATTTTTCAGAAATAATTTGAATTTAATTATTAATTTTGTAATTTGAATAAATCACATGGACATATATTTTTCTTTTTATATTATAATATCATTCCTACATTATTTTAATCATTTACTATTGCCATTATTAATTAATCTCTTGTAATGCTATTAAATTATTAATCTATTTCTTGTCATATTATTATTTGCTTTGCTATATTAAGTAGTCCTTTAAAATGTTGTCATTATTATTTCTATCAAACATTTTAAATTAAATTGAATAAGTTAGAACTATCCTTTAATACTTCCAAAACTTGTTAGTTCTAACTGAAATAAATGTTTAATCCAAAATTATTTGTGTATATACACTTGGAATAAATTAAGTTACCAAATGCTATCGATCATCTTCAAATATCTATCCATTTTGAATTGACATTTAAAAAGTTCTACATTTTTATCCTTATTCACTTTTCCATCCTCAAATTTGCACATTTTTGATTAATTTTATTTTACTGAAGTTTATTTAAAAAAATAAATTCATATTTAATATTTAAAAAAATGTCCTTTCCAGTTTTTTTTTTTTTCTACTTCATGTAACAATGTTTACTCATTTGTTTTCAAAAATTTTACTAAATGATACTTTTGTTTTGTGTTTTACAGAATTTCTTAAAAAGAAAAAATGTAGCGATTTGTCTTTTTTTTTAGTTTGTTAAGTAAGTAAACAGAAAATTTAAAAGTTTGTTGCACAATTTTTTGATTAAACAATGTTTAATAATAATAATAATAATAGCAACTAATGAATAGTATCCAATTAGTGCTAGAAATTTACGGCCTAGATTTATCGCAGTATCATTAAAGAAGACTAGCTGGCCTAGCTAACTAATCTAGTCTTCTTTAACTTGGCTGATTTTTCTTCATCATTTTTATCCATCATTTATTAGTTTCTATCAAAAAAAAATTTTTTTTTTTTTTGATTTTAAATATAATGGAAGCTTATTATTTCTTGACTAAAATAAAACTTATTTGAAATACCCTGAATTTTTTATTTTTTCTTCATATATTTAAATTATTAAATAAAAATAATATGTTTTTATTCGCAAATGATAAGTTGATGTGATATTTTTCAAGCTAATATATTTTTTGCTAATTAATGATCATGATTTATTATTATTTTAGTATATTTGTTTACTTAATGCATTTACTATAATTACAATTACCTTGAGGATTTAATTTTTTATTAAAGCAAATACATTTATTTACATAGTATTAAATATTTATATACCATTTCGATTCAAATATTTCAAGCTAATAGAAAATTTCAAAACATAGCAGACAATGTTTATCATTGTAGAATATGAAATTTCATTAAGTTTACTCTATTTTACTCTTCTTTCTAAGCTTAAAAACACAAAAATGGACTGGAATAATTTATAGAAATAATTTATTTTTTCTTTTTTTTAAATATTTTATACAAATTTGTGATTTAAATTTACAATGTTACTTTTGAAATTACATTGCTAAACTGTTATAAATAATAAATAAATAAAATAAAATAATAAAAAGATGCATTATTTAAATTATTGTTAATAAGAAAGAAAATTGCATTTACAAAATAAATATCTTATTTTTCTTACATTTAATTAACCAAATTGTAATTAATATTTATTCTATTACTTTCAATATTACGCACAAAATATACATTATGCGACATTTTTGAAGCAGTAAAATAATTTATAATTTCTTTTGCTATTTCAAATTTTTTATTATTAAAAATGTGTTTAATTAATTTTTATATAATTAATTAGCTAATAATAATAATAATAATATTAAGTAGTGGTGGACACAAAGAAAAAAAAAAAAACGAAAAATAAAGGAAAAAGCGAACGATGAATGATGTGTTTTTCTTAAAGCGCCTAAGGCGGTAATGGATTTTTTTCTTCTCCTTACAATACTTATGGCCAAATTTACGTTACGTCAAGCGCAACAACATTCTTTAAACAATCATCAATCAGATTTTACTAACGATCAACACTTCGACGTACATATTACAAGCAGTCAGCCTCAGGTAAGCATTTCACAAATCATTTTTACATTTCATTTCCAATTTAATCATTTCTTAATTAATTTTTAACTATTGTGAATTTTTCATTTCTTTTTTTTTTTGTAACTGTGTTCAAAAATTGAAATGTCGTTTTTGTATTTATTAGTTATTTCTTATAAAAAATTTTAATGAGTATTACAATGAATCAAACCATATCCAAATTATAGTATGGAAAAAAAAATGAACAATCATAGAATTGCTATGTTCAATTACTTTAAGAAATCAAATCGAATGATATACTTTCATCAGTTGTCTTTTTAAACTTTAAAAAAGTTTATTAACAAAAAAAGAGAGAGGAAAAAAATCTAAGAATAAAAATCAAACTACACAATAATTAATTGATTTTAGAAGTATATTACTTGTATGATCAAAAAATTTTTAATAATTATTCCTTATCAATTTTTTCAATAGAATAATAATTGCGATTATTAATGGATTTTTTTTTTTTTTTTGACCAGCAAAAAAAATAAATAATATATCGGAATTGATTTTGCAATAATTAATTGTATAATTCTTATCATTCCGTCAATAAGTGATATAAGAGAAATTGTTTACTTCTATAATTCTTATCACTTCGGCAATAAATAATATATCAGAATTTATTTGTAATGATGAATTATTATAATTGTTATCATTTTATCAACAAATCCTAATTAATCTTCAACTTTGCCAACTGTTTTTTACTGCATTTAACTTATGTGATTGATTTTTTTAGAAAGTATTATGCAAAACTTTGTCATTTAATTTCAATTTGCCCAAGTAAAACTATTTTATAAAATCCATTAAATTCTTCCTCTCTCTCTCTCTCTCTTCCTTTCTGCTTGTCTCTTTCCTTTATTTTCCTTCTATGCTTCTCTTCTCTTCCATCTTCTTTTTCCTCACAATTAAATCAACATTGGAGGAAAGAAGGAAGAAAGCGAATGATAACATTTAAAGTGGCTCTAGGTATTACATTCCAATGAACAGATGGAAAAGATAAGGAAAGAAGAGGAGAAGGAAGAGAAGGAAAAGGAGGAGGAATAGAAGGAAGAAGAGGAAAAGAAGGAGGAATAGAAGGAGGAAGAGAAGGAAGAGGAGGAAAAGGAGGAAGAAAAGAAGAAGGAAGAGGAGGAGGAGGAATAGAAGGAGGAAGAGAAGGAAGAGGAGGAGAAGGAGGAAAAGGAGGAAGAAAAGAAGAAGGAATAGAAGGAAGAGGAGGAGGAGGAATAGAAGGAGGAAGAGAAGGAAGAGGAGGAGAAGGAGGAAAAGGAGGAAGAAAAGAAGAAGGAATAGAAGGAAGAGGAGGAGGAGGAATAGAAGGAGGAAGAGAAGGAAGAGGAGGAGAAGGAGGAAAAGGAGGAAGAAAAGAAGAAGGAAGAGAAGGAAGAAGAGGAGAAAAAAAGAATTGGTGACGGGAATTTAAAAAAAAGAGAGAGAGAGAGAAGGGATATTAAAGTATTAATTAAGAAAGAAAAAAATATGAAACATATTTAAATAAATAAATAAATGAACAAATAAAAATTATATATAAAAATTGAATAAATATAGCAACTAAAAAAAACAAATTTAAAGGAAAAATTTTTAAATTTTAATCTGACTAAACAAAAAAAAAAAAAAATGAGAACTTTTTTCTTTTTTTTTTTGATTAAAATTGAATCGTAAAATAGGTAAACACAATGAAGCTATTTGAGCTCATACTTCAAAACAAATTTCATGTCTTTGATAAGTATCAGTATAGAAGGCAAATTGCCTTCTTTCGAGAGTGCATTGCATCATTTAATTTCATTTTCGACATATAGATGAGGTTGAGAGGGAACAGGAAAAAGCAAAGTGAAATGAAAAACAGAATTATTTTAAAATGGAATTTGTAAGCAAATGAAATAAAAAGCTTAACTAAGATAAGATGCTGCTCTATAACATTCTTTATAGCTCTTTAAATAGGACTGATTTAAGATGAAGCTTGAAAGCCTGAAGCTAAAGCCAAAAGCTTTTTTGTTTGATCCAGAAAAAAAAAGAGGGAAAGAAAAGAAAAAGGAAAAAAAAAAAAGGGAAAAAAAGAAAATGTATATTAAAAATTTGTAATAATTTTTGATGAAAATTCTTGATTTTATTATTCATTGTTTTCTTTATTTCTTTCTTCTTATTTCGCTCTTTTTTTTTTTCAGGAAAAGGACTTCCGTAATGCGGATGATAATTTTCCGGAAGGAAGGCTGGTTTTTTAAACATTTTCTTTTTTAATTTTATCTTGCAATCATACTCTTTTTACCTAATTATTATGATATTTAGTGCCATTATAATTAAGTAAAAATTATAAAATTCACGTGAATCGTTTTTATCACCTCAGTATCACTTATTATCATAATTTGTTAATAAAAATATCAGTACATATCATTTATCTTAAAAAAAAAAAAACACGTGTCATATGCATCATTTCATTATGCCATTATATTTATCAGAACGTAAAATTTTCTGCTTTTTCTAAAAATATGTAACAATAAGAAAATCTGTTTGTTAATTTAAATATCACTTTTGTTTATTTTATAACTTCAGTTTCCACGAAAAAAATTTGAAAATAATCATTTGCAGTTCAAATCCGCCACACAATCCTTATATGAAAACTGCCTTTGATAGCAATTTCAAAACTCATACAATATGTGAATCGTGGAATTCCGGTAATCAACCGGATGATTTACTTTGGTTCGAATTTCTTCGAGTTACATTTTTTCACCCTTTAGAAAGTTTTATTTTTAACTTAAGCAATTAAAGTCTGTATAAATTTATATGGAAATTTCTAGCATTAATTACATCTATATAATGATAAATGAACAATTTGCGAATATTATACTCATTTCATGTTGCACAAAATTTAATTTTCGTTATGTGTGCTAAAATTTTATTGTTGTATTACTTTAGTATTCTTGCAAAAATGCTATTCCAACATTTTTATATTACATTTGTGTTACTTACTACAATGACACATTGTATTTGTATTATATTATTTTAGTAATTTTATACTTTATTACTCCAACATTTTGTTATATTTTTTATTTTATAGTGTTTTAGAATTTTTTTCATTTTTGTTGATTACTTCAGTAGCTTATAGAAAAGAAAAAGAAACTAATTTACGAATGAATATATGCTAAAATACTTATAAATAGTTTAGCTATTGAAACAAAAGTATTACTATAGGTTCCACCGTATAACTTCTTACCATGCAGTACCTATCGTATCCTACCGTATAACAACAATACGGTACATCCTACTGTATCACACCGTATGACAAATCTACGGTACATCCTATCGTGAAACGGTTTATAATGTTTCTTATTTGACAGGACAGAACCGGCGGATCGTTTGTTACGAATCATTGGTAATGGCGTTGTCAAGGATGGATATAATATGTTTATGACACCAAGTCAAGCTGAAGGTCCATTTTTTCCTATAAAATTTTAAAATTAAAGAGGAGAGACTTGCAATAATGATTAAAAAAAAAATTCTCTTTCTAATTAATTCAAACTTTTGGCTTTATAGATATTGTTCTCAATTTTTAGAAAAAAGCAAACAGAAAATAAATCTTTTGCATAAACATAGGAAGAAGAAAACATCAATACATTAGAAATTATTTAAAATTTATAGTAATTTACAGGTAAAACAACGGTGGTATCGGTCGCTATATACATTGAGTCTATGTCATCGTTCAGAACACAAACAATGGTTAATAATTTCAAATTTGATTTTGAATTCTAAACTACAATTGTTTTTTTTTTTTTACATTAATTAAATATGATAATTACATATCGCTTTAAATGTAACAGCATATGTGTTAGTAATTTCTTTTCAATTTTTCAAAAAGTTTAATAGAGTTGAACCGTTTTTTTTTTTTCAATTCTTTAAGTACTAATTTGTTAAAATCTCATCTCTTTAAAATACAGCTTCTTTTCTTTTTTTTTTTAATTTTAATTTTCCTTCAAATCACATTTTTTTTAGGATTTCGAAGTTGATATGTACCTTGCTCTGGGCTGGTATGATCGTCGTTTAGCTCATAACTGTACACATCCAGTACTTGTCACACATAAATTCATTGTTGATCGTTTGTGGCAGCCTGACCTTTACTTTGTTAATTCCAAATTTGCCTACCTCCAAGAAGTGACAACGCCAAATTTCATGGTCATCGTTTATCCTGATGGTTTAATTTTCAAATCTATGAGGTATGCTAACCTTACCATATTTCAGCTAGCAAATTTTATGTTCAAATTTTTAATGCTAGCTTTTGAGTATTGTTAATATTTTAGGTTCTAAATACAAGATGAAAAAAAAAAATGTGAATTGGCTAAGTTTGTTTTTATTTTCATGTTTTAATTCTTATTTTTATGAATTTTTTATAACGATATGGTAAAAGAGATAATAATTTAGAGATTTTCATTTCACATTTTCCATCTTTATTTCGATAAAAATAATTAAAACAGAATAGTTTATGAATTTTAAAACTTTACCTTAAATCATAAGTATACATTACTAATGACACAGAAATTCCTTAACTGACATTAATGTGTTATCTTTTGCATACTGTTTTCTAATTTTATACTTTTTATTTATTTTTAGGCTTAAAAAAAAAAAGAATGCTTAAGTTTTATTCTCAGACATTTTTTTTGGGAAATACGGAAAATCTTTGATAATTTTTTTTTTTTTTTTTATAAGTATTCACTTTTTTGCAAAATAAGCATTAGAAGTTTGTAAATTTTCTCTTTATTTATCAAAAATTTCTCATTTTTTCTTTTTTTTTTTTGGAACATAAAAGAAAAATTAAAATTTAATCTTTCAGATTGGATGTGACATTATCTTGTATGATGGATTTACAACGTTTCCCCATGGATAAACAGGAATGCCCACTTATTATCCAAAGCTGTATGCTTTATCATTTTTTTTTTTTTTGTTTTGTCTTCTCATGGGAACATTTAAACTGAACATCAAAATGTTTTCTCTCTCTTCCTCTCTCTCTAAAAAATTGAAAATATTTCTTTGCTAAAATACTACGACTTAAAATTATCTCTATCTTAAATCTATGCAAATTTGCGCTTCTGTCGCATGTTAAAGTTTAAAAAGAAAAACGAAGTGAAATTACTAAAATCAAAATCCAAAAAATTTTTCTTGCAAGAATGATTTATCATACAAAAATATGCATATATTTTGAGAAAATAAATAAATAATATGTTTATTTATTTCTTTTTCTCTCTCTGGATAGAATTGATATATAATATCATAATGTATTCGAATTTCATTACTTATTACTACCTTGATTACATATACATTAATTTGAAATCTGGTATTATAATATGTTCATAGCTAATTACTTAATATTATATGTAACATAATACGATATTCAATTCATATGTACTTCATAACAAAGTGAAATCTTTTTAATTTCCTCTAAATATTTTAATAGCAATCAGTCAACAACGATAATACAATTTATCAAATATAATAATATTTACAGATGCTTACGTAGAGAATTTAGTAAATCTAACATGGCATGAAGATCCACCGTATTTTCCATTCGGAAGTAATAGCGAAATTAAAACAAACGATATGGTTATCACGAATACAAGATTTGAGAAGTGCCTAACACCGTATCAAATGTTTCGCGGTTTTGGTAACTATTTTGGTTTGATTGCAACAATATTAAATTGTAAAAATCTTGGATTATGGAAATTATAAAAATATTAATTTATAAAAACTTTATTTTTGCATTTTTTTCTGGTTCTTATTAGCAAACTGTTTTTGTTATACAGTAAATTTAATAGTTTGAGGAAATAGTTTGCTTAAAATTAAGATTGTTAAAATAACCATATCAAAGCAATAAACTTTTAATCAATAAATTAGTATGCTAATAAAAAGTAAGCAAACGAAAAATGATGAGAATAAATGATGAGAACAGTACATATGTATAGTGATGATTCGTTATCATATTATTATCATCTAGTCTTATCATCCCTCCTTCCGCTATTTCAATGAGTGATTTTTTAAAATTATTTGATTATTTTATCTAACAAATATATTTTACTATTATTATTCATCTTTTTCTTTTCCTTCGACAAGTTATTATAAACTTTTTTATTCGATATTTTAATGAGGTAATTATCAATTAAATAAATTGCACCTGTTGTCAGGTAATTGGTCATGTATTCGAGGATTCATAATCATGAAGCGATTAATGTTATTTCATGTAATACAAACATATTTTCCATCAGCAATGCTTGTTTCCATCTCATGGATGAGCTTTTGGCTTGACCCACGTGCTTCACCAGCTCGTGTGACACTGACCATTACTACATTACTCACACTGACCACAATGAGTAATGGTGCAAGACAAGATTTGCCACAGGTTTGCTTCCTTTTTTCTTTTTTTTTTCGAATATTTTATTTAAATTAAAACATTTCAAAAAAGTGACATTTTTTTTTTTGCTTGATATTCTCCTTTATATTGTAGCATATGTCTCAGTTAATTCAATTTAAATAAAGAAATGATAAAATTATTTTGTTAAATAAAAAATAAATAATAAGTGATAAAAGTTGAAAGGAAAAATACTGAAAAGAAAATAAGAAGGTTAGTTAAATAATGCAATGTAATGAAAGGTTTTTTTTTTCTATTATTTGTTTTATCAAATACAGTTTCAGTAGAAAAATGAAAAAAGGAGTTATTCTTCAAATATATTAGAAATAACGAGGATATATTCTCTTATTATACTTAAGTACTCAAATTAATAAATCTTATCATACTTAAGTACTCAAATCAAATTCATTTTATTTCAAGTTAAATATTTTTAGTTCATATTTTCTTTCCTTATCAGTTCTTATTTTACACTGCTTCTTGTTCTCCTATTTTCATATTTTTATCAATTAAAATGAGAATTTCAGGTTAGCTATATCAAAGCATTGGATATTTGGTTGACATTCTCACAGGTTCCTTTTGATCTTTTCTTCTCTTTCACTACATATTATATTATTTACATTTATAATAATTTATGTTTCTATTCAACAATTTTTCGCCTTTTATTTGATCATTTTTTAAAAATCTTTCGTTTAAAAAAAAAAAAGAAAATTATCAATTTGTGAAGATTTAAAGTTTATTTTCATTAATTTAATTAATGTGCAGGCAAGTTTTCTCTTCAATCATAAATATGAAAATAATTTAATTTATAACATAATTCATTATTTATTTAATAAATTTTTATTTGTAAAATTAAGCTGTTTCAAAGTCAAAAATTTCTACTATCATTATTAAATGTTAGTATCACAATTTTATCACTTAATTAACTTTTATCATACTATAATATTTGTACTGAATGATTATTAAGAATTGAAATGTTTCAACCATTCATACTTTAACAATTTATTTTTGATTTTGGAACGGCACTATAATTATTGAATGTCAATATTAGTATTTATAGATTTATTTTTATTAATCAGTTTATAAAATTGATCAATGAAAATAAAAAAAAATTAATGAAGATTTTAAAAATGTGTAGACCTATAAAATTAATTAATGAAGATAAAAAAGCTTGATAGAGATTTAAAGAACTTTCAGATCTATAAAATTAATTAATAAAGATAATAGTAAAGATTAATTAATAAAAATTAATTAATGATGATCTTTTTTAGGCATTGATATTTCTTGTATTGTTGGAGTATTCATTTGTCAGCTATTATTTAACTAAGCGTGACTATAATTGCATACATCGTCGTGTTTTTGGTACCACTGAACTTTATCCTGAAATGGAAAAAGTAAAAGAAAAAAAATTATTTTATTTATAAATAATAAATTTTAAGCAAATTTTAAATGAATTTTAATTGTATTTTAGCAATGATTCTGGTAAAATCGTTTTGAATTGATTTTTTAATTTTAATATTTCTCTCTTATTTATTTTTTTTTTTCTTTGCTTCATATTTAAGCTTTTTATTTATTGATAATAAATTTTGAAGTGTTTTAGAAGAAATTAGGTGCGCAAAATCCATCATTGACCAGCACAAGGAGATATTCCATAGACAATGGTCACACAAATATAACAAATGCATATTCATTGACCGCTGGACTAACACGATGTTTACGTAACACAGCAGTAAATAATTCAAATTTATAATTAAAAATACTAAAATAGATTGATCAATTGTTTTCATAATTAAATTGAATTAATTTTTCTATTTTTTGTTGCTGAAGATAGAAAAAAGTTAAAGTAATAATAATTGTTTAATACTAACTTTATAAATCTGTTTCAATTTAATAAAGTTAAATTTTTTAAAGTGAAATTTATTTATCTGTTTTCTTCACATTATAAAATATATATATATTGAATTTAATAATTAAGTTTTTTTTTTTTTTGATTAATTAATAAATGCTTCTTTTTAATGTATTAAAAAAAATAAATGAATTTCTGTGTCGGATTGTATTATTATTTGTTTAATTAAGTCAAATTAATTTTAATCTATTAAAGATTAATTTGAAACAAAAAAAATTGAATATTTTTTTTTTAGACATTAGTTGCTAAAACATACAATGAACATGATAAAATTTTCAATAATCTCGACATTTCAAAGCCATGTCAAAAATGTACGGCATCGAATGAATTTGTTGCACGACAAATTGATCATTGTAAGTCATTTTAAGTATTTGAATCAATATATGTAAGTTATTTCAAGTATTTAAATTAATATATGTAAGTTATTTTAATGTAATTCATATTAAAACATCAAATAATTTAAGGAAACTATTCCAGTTATACTTGTAATTTATATCAATTAATTTACAAATTTGAATTAACTGGAATGATTTTTTTTTGAATTAAGACTTTAAATTAATGTTAGCTTTGATCAAAATCATTTTTTATTTTTATAATCAATCAATTAAAATACATTGTAATCATCAAACCATTTTTAATTATAATTAAAGCTAGCAATAATTAGCTAAGATTAATTAAAACAATTGTGTTTTCGGTTTGAAATTAATCAAAGTATCTTTGAAGAAAAAAAAATTTTTTTTTTTGAATAAATTTAATAAAAAAATTTATGTATTTATTTTCTAAATTTTAAGTGATAATGAAAATTTAATGATTATTTTATAGATAGTCGAGTCATATTTCCATCAGTATTTTTACTCTTCTCCACCTGTTATTGGTTATACTACAGTTGGTACACTAACGAAGATTAATTAAATTGCACTAAAACAATTTCAACCAGCAAAATTCATTTCACTTCCATAACTTTGCTCTATTATTAATTATTGCTAATTAATATAATTTATGTTGTTTTTCATTCATTGCAATTATTAATTTATTTTACAATAAATTTATGCATAATTTTCATATTTTCATGCAAATAATATCATAGTGTCATACGTGTAAAAAACATCGCTGCGTGTATCAATGAATATGGTAGACGTATAACGTAAGTGTTGTACGCTTACTTTGTTTTATCAGTTAACATTTGAAATGCTTCCTTTTCACTCTTCATAATTATTTTAAAGCTCTCTTATCATATGCAAATTTTAGACAATTTATCAAGAAATATTACAGAGAAATTTTATTATACTTATTATAAAATAATATAATAGAAAATTTTATTTCAATTATGCTAAATTTAAAAATTTGCAATCTCTAAAGTTTAATACGCCAAATTTAAGCAAGCAATAATGCAAACACAATTTTGCACTTAAAGTTAAATCATTTGAAATGTTTAATTTTGGAATATTTAAATCATTGAAATATTTGAAGTATATAATAGTGCAACTGAAATATTTAATTAAGAAAAAATTACAATTCTTACTGCCAAGGAGGACGGTAAAGTTGAAATCATATTTATGGTTCTTTTCAATAAACATTTAAGCTGTAGGATTCCGGAAGGCAATGCAATATGAGACGTAATGTAGGGATACTGGGGAATATGGGTGCTACAAGAAGTGAAGTTGAATTCCGGACAGGAATTTAATGCAGTGATTAGTGTAGGTACGGAAAAGATTGTGACGCAGTGTTGGTGCAAGAGGATTCCGGGCAATATTTTCACCAGTAATACTTCAGGATCTGAGCACATATGCAATATGGTGATGCTATAAAAGATAATATAGGATTCCGAAAATTAATTCATTAGTAAAATTTCAGGATCCGGAAGAAATATGCAACATGATGATGCTATGAGATACAAAATTTCACTATCTGTGCACTTTTTCTGAGAAAAAATTTAATTGTTTTAAATTAAAATATGCAAATTTTAGAACTTTCTATTTAGCATAAATATTTACAAAAGTAGAATAACTTTTACTTACTTTCTTATCATATCACTGTGAAGCGGTTCAATTATCAGTTAGTAAGTCAACAAATCATTTTAGATGACGTTAACACCTATAACTTTTCATTTCATTTCTATGCTATTTTGCCTTTTTCTTTTATTTCATTTTTCATTTTACTTAAACAGTCAACCAAATGATAAGCTATTAAGCGGTATAATGATAATACATGATAAAATTTTAGATTAGCAAAATTATTCCCGAATAATTCAATATTCTTTTTTAATAATTGAAAAATATAATTTTTAATAAATATATTTATAAATTTAGAAAACAAAAAAAAATACATATTACATTCAAGAATTTTACGGAAAGAGTGAAATATTTCATACAATAGTAATAGTAAAACATAGGTGTAAAATTTTAGTAATATTCGAGATTTGTGACATAATATTTAATTATAATCTTTTTATATCAAAATGTTTTATATAATAAAGTTATATTAGAGAGGAAAGAAGATAAAACATAAACTAAAGGGTGAAATATTCAATCAAAATAATATTTGAAATAAATTTTTATCCAAAAAAAAAATGAATAAATGAATAAAAATACTATTAACAGCAACAAGGATTTTACAACAAGACAACGAAATGATAACAATGATAAAAAATCATACAAAGGTTTAATTTTTAATTCATATCTTTTAATTAATTATTTTCATCTATGTTTTATAACTCTTATACGTTAATAATACTTAAATATGAAGCTAATCAAGTATACGTAACGTTATGAAGGACATATTATAAAAAGTAGAGAAATGGAAGAAAAAAATTTCTGATATAGAAGTTACGTCATAAGCTAAGTAATAAGCGTTAATAGTGGAGGCCCTGCCCTATACTTGCACACGTACACGTCGAAAATATCATTTTAAAGGAAACACGGACCTATAATTATGCAAATAATAAGAAAAATTGTATGGAAAAAATATATGCAACAAATAAATTAATAAATAATGTGCATAATGTCCTGAATTATTGAAACTCTTTTTTTTTTTTTTGCATTAAATTAAATTATACAATATTTAATTCGAAAATAATTTAATTATTGCAATTTAGAAAAACGATAATATATATGTGGAAGCATTAGGCCAAAATGTGCATAATTTCCTGAATTATTGAAACTCTTTTTTTTTTTTTTGCATTAAATTAAATTATATAATATTTAATTCGAAAATAATTTAATTATTGCAATTCAGAAAAACGATAATATATATGTGGAAGCATTAGGCCAAAAAATACCAATCAATTATTGTCAATATTTTCAAGGAATTATTAAGGGAAAAAAGGGTGCAAATGTTCGCATTTCATTGAGAAATTTCAAATTTTGTATAAATTAATTTTATTCAAAAAAGAAAAAAAAAAAAGAGAGAAAGTAATTTATGTGAATTATCAATCAACGAAAAGAAAAAAAGAAAAAATTATGATTATTTTTTCTTGAAAATTCTTAATAGCATAGAAAAAATTAATTATGGATTAACTCACACCCTAATAGAAAGATATTAACACAAAAAATATCCATTTCAGCAGATCAAATAGTGATAAATAAAGATAAAATAGATCAGAATGATGATAAGAAAGTTGAAATACTAAAGCAATGATAATAGAGGCAATAAATTTAAATAGATTGGAATAATGATAACGAAAGCAATGATTATAACAAAAGTTGAACGTGGATCAGTAGCGGAACAATTGCTGCAATTTGGTGATATAATTACAAATATTGATGATAAGAAAATTGAATCACGAAAAGAATTTGAAGAATTGATAGCAGAATTGAGCAAAAATGATTGCAATGTTTGTTTTTCTTCTCCAGTAATGATAAGATTACCATGATAAATAGCATAAACTTTATTTGATTGTCTTATCAGCAATGATAAAGTTATCACAATCATGAAATGTAACTTTGGATTGATAGTTATGTTGCTTATCTTTCCTTCCTTTTATTCAGTGATAACAAAATTACTATAACTGTGAGATGTAACTTTATATCAATAGTTATTTTAATATAAATTTTTTTTCTCGAAAAAAGTAAAAACAAAACTTGAATTGAATCATTTACAATTATATTTTAATAGAACGGAAAAACTTCTACTTGTAGTTTTTATATACTAAATCTTTTCAAATATATATATGCATATTTACTTATTTATTTATTTGTTTGTTTATAAATAATATTTGTAATATTAAATTTCTAAGCAATTTATGCATTTTTTTTAAAATCCAATCAATTGTAATTAATAATTATTAATAAATAATATAATATAGTTTAAAATTAATGGAATTCGATTGAAAACAAAATTGGAAATGGAAGGGAGTCGTTTTCCGAAAGGTTATGAGCAAAATATGAATTATAAGTATCACATTGCTGTTTTATATTTCATCCAAAATTGCAAACTTGCGCTTTCTATTAAATCATATAACAATAAGGTTAAACTTTTATTAATTTTGTTTTTGGAATTTTTTTCAAATTTTCAATTTATACTAGGCATTATAAATTAATTATTTAAAAAAAAGTTAAAAATTAGCAAATTAAAATTTGGCAAAATAATAAAAAAATTTTAAAATAAAGTGTTATGCAAGCATTTTTTGCATTGATATTTGATTTATACATTTTATTAATTAACATTTCTTTTTTTTTTTTTTTAATTTTGCAAAATCAAATTTTTTTGCACTTTTTTTTTTTCAATTCAAATTCGAACAGTAATTTTTTGTGTTTTTTGACTTTAGCATTTCCTCACATTTTTTAAGTGAATAAGAAAATTTAAAAAGAAAAAAAAATTTTTTTTTAAAAAAAAAAAGAAAAACGATTTTATTTTTGTAGCAAAGATTTTTTGAAAAAAATTTTTATAAAATTTTGAATACTGATTTGAAAAAAATGCATATTACAGTAAAATTAAATAATGAAAAGACACAGTAATTTGCTATTAAGTAATTCTTTTAAGCAAGAGATTGTAATTAAAAAATTAATTAAATTTTTAAATTAGGAATGAAATAAAATTATTTAAGGTTTACGTGACACGTGTGATTGAGCATACATTAGCAGGAATGAGTTTAGCAAAAGGTGATGCAATCTTAGACGTTGATTCGATTCCGGTTACTACAGTTTCTGATACATCCAATATTATTTGCGCTAATTTACGGAAAAACGGTTATGTAATAATTCACTTTTTATTTTGTCTCTTTTAATTTATTTATGTTCATTTATCTCTTTTTTTAAAAAGTTAACTTATATTCTAAACTGAAATTTATTTAAAATTTAATTTATAAAATAATTCTATGATAATACTTTATTTCACAAATTATCGAATAGTGGTGAAAAGATAATTCAAATTTTATGTATACAACATAATCTTATGCCTCTGATAACGACTAGCAAATTATTTATTCTTAGTTTTTTTTTTTTTTTTTTAATGAGGAAAAAATAATTTAAGATTTTTGCTATCATACATAATGCATTTTTCAACATAATATTAAGTTGTTTATGCATTTTACGGTTAATAGCAAATCATTTGTTTATCGGAAAAGTTTTATTTTTTTTATATATAAAAAAATTTTTAGTAAAAAAAAGTTTTAAAAAATGTTTTCTTCCTAATCTTTTTATATGCAAATAAACTTTTATTGAATTCCGTTATTGGGAGAATTGAATAATACTTTGGTAAAGTTTCGTTTTACTTTTCAGACTTTTTTATTTTTATTTTTTTTTTTTTTTATTGGAATTTCTAACATTTCAGACTTTTTTATTTTTTTACTCAACTAAAGAATGACTCATAGTTTAGTTTACAATTATTAATTACTCAAAATAAAAATTAATTTAGCATTTTTCTTATTATTACATAATTCATACAAAGATTTAATGCAAAAAAAAAAAAATTCTTTTATTCATTATCGTTAAAAAAAAAAAGATTTATGAATAATATCGAACAAATAATGCTATTTTTTTCATGTATATTACATTTTAGATCTTTCTGAACAAAAATTAAAAGTTAAAAGTCGTGAATATTTGACAATGAAATAGAATTTACAAAATATCAAAGACAAAAAGATTTAAATTTGTTTAAATTTTCCATTTCAGTTCCTTAATATTATTTTATTTTAACAAAACAAAAAAAAAAGATAATTAAACTTTCCAATGTTAAATACGAATAATGCAAGTCAAATATTAATTTATATGTAATATAGTAATATGCACAAAGATAAGTGATAAGTAATTTATATAATTAATGTAATTAATTATCAGTTTGTTGGAAGTACGCAACATAAAAAATAATATTTCTTTTTTATTTGTTCATTTAACGACTAGAAAATAATTTAAATTCGAGCAGTTTTCATTCAATGTCTGGTTTATAGAAGTTTTTGCATCAGTTATTAAATTTCAAATTTGAATAATGATATAATTAATAAAGAATGAAAAATAATTTAAAAAATTTTTCAGTTTTTCAGAAAAACAAAAAATAAAAGAAAATAAATATGAAAAAAAAAAAAGGAAAAATGAGACAAACTTTATACACAACTAATTCAAGCACAACTTTTTTTTTTATAATCAAATTTAGGCAACTTTAGTAATTGAACAGCCAAATGATCCATTAGCAACAGCACATGTTCGTCTAGCGCTAATGGCCGAAAAATCGATGGAAATAGATCTACCACTTGCGCCTGATGTAATCGATATCTGTCAACAAGAATATAAACGCATGAAACGAGATCCTGATTTAAAACCAAATCAAAATATTTTAAAAACTCAGAGGCAAGCTTTTTGCAAACATTCAAATATCATTCAAGAAATATAAATACTAATTATTATTAGGAATGGTTTATATTTAAAATAAAAATTCAAATTCATCTGTTTTTAAAATGACTAATAACTAATTTCAGTATTAATAAATAAAATGCAAGAATTCAATATATTCATTTCCATTCCATTCTAGTCTTTCTTCTTAAATTTTTTTCTAAAAAAAAAGAAAAATTCATACAATAATGATATAAAAACAATTTATTCTTAAGGAATAATCAGAAAAAAATTCTTACAGAATGTCAAAATACTTTTAAAAATTCTAAATGAATAAATTAAAAATTAATATAACTACTATATAATTCATGTAAGACAAATTGTTTTTTAATAATAATTAAAAGAAATATATTGTTTACTTACTTTCATAATGTAAAATTTTTTAAAATTAAAAATCTTTCCACCGTTAACATCAAATTTAAATTATAAAATGAAAAAAAAAAAATTCTTTTTCCAGTGATAAACCACGTCCAATTCATTCACGAATTCAAGTAAATGAGAAAACGGAAGATGTGCCGATTGCATGTGATGATAATCCGGCATTACTGATGAAAGTGCCAATAAAGTATACATCCGACAAACAATATTTTTCATTGTCTGATAGCAATAAATAGAAATTAATAATGCATAAATTTACAAATCAATTAAATAATTAATGAAAAAAGTAAATAAAACATAAGTAAAAAATAAATAAACAAATGAATTAGTGTCGACTAAAAATAAATAAAAGAAACAAATGAATAATATAAAAATTAATAATAATAAAATAATGATGAAACATTATCAATAATCGTAAACTTTTAATTTACTTTTGAACCGATAATCTTTATTCATAACTTTTTTGCTACTTTTTAACTAATAAATATTTACATTTATTATCTTAATTTAAGAAGCATTTTGTAATACTTTGAAAGGAAATGTCACTTTATCAGTGTTGTTGTGTCAAATTAATCATATTGTTTTTCCTGAAACTATGAATTTGAAATGAGCGATATGCTGGCAGCAACTATATAAGTAAAACGGTAACTAAAGACCAATAACTTGACATTGACATCATTTCTTGACTTGATGACTTGACATCATTTCGGAATTATCATCTCAACTCAAGACTTCAGCTCTTGTTATCAGCTAATTCTGAGATGATTATTTCATACCCTAAGAAAGCTATCCCAACAATTCTTCTCATATCGTTGCAGAAAAATGCCTATTAGTATTTTGCAAACTATACGAATGCATTCTAAAATAAAACTTAGTGTCTAAATATATGCTTACTTTCGAGAAAAATAGCAACCGATATTATCGAAAAAAAAGCATTCAAAAACGATTTTTTGCCAATGTGTACAATGTTTTTAACAAAAATTTCTGATATCTTAATTTGAAAATGAAGTGAAATTTAACGAGATACATTTATTAAATGAAGCAATTTATATTCAGTCAACCCATAAGACATTAAAATGAATTTGTCAGGGAAAGTGATGACAGTAATGATAATAACAATAATAAAAAGAGCAATAATAATAATAATAATAATAGCAATGCCATTAGTGCATTCTTTCAAAGAGAAATATACAAAACAAGAAAGCCAGGTACAGATGGAAAAGCAATCAAAGGCACAGAAAGCAGATGAACAAAAAACAATGTACTTACTATCTATCTATGGGCATACTAAACACATTATATCACATCACCGATTGAATGATAAGACATAAAATTCAAATAAATCAGTTTAATTTACAATCGATGATATCATTAGCATGAAGACATTTCGAGAAAATCATCATGTTCTCTTCGTCTAAAGTACTGTAATATATCAGAAATATGTATTTTGAAAAGCTTTCGCTTTAATGTGGCATATTCTAATAAAACTATATATTCACAAATCTTACTTCTACAAATTTAATAAAGCATAATCTAAAACAACAAGAAATGTATTCTGTGAATTTAGTTCAGGTGAATTAAGAAAAAAAATATCCTAATTGAATTGTGTAATGCACTTGAAAAAACTTTGAAAATTCAAATTTTAAAATTATGTCAAATAATTAATTACATTTGAATCTTATAGCAATTTTTTGCCCATAATTACATACATCTTAAACAAATCAAACAATTTCTTCCATTCTCTACTAGCATTGCTGCTACCATTCGGCCTCACCCGAACAGCGCTGGAAGCAATGATCCTTACCACGTATGTGCATTATGCCGTCTTTTAACGTGAACTTCCACTTACTGCGAGCACGATGCACCTACAAAACCAATAATGACTTATATAATTAATAATGATTCCTCTCAACACAAGTCTCCTTGTTTTGATTTTTTAAAAAAAAAAAAGTAATATTAAAAGCTCAGTAGTCTAAAATGAAAAACGTGCTCACCGGACGAAGTCAAACTATGCACGACAATAAATAATAAAAGGTAATAAAAAAGGATTACTTTTTCGAACTGACACATGACGAGATTCTCTGCTTCGAAAAGCCTCTCCACATCTTCATCGTCACTTTGATCATCACCAGAATTTAGGGGATCTTCTTCAGTTACCTGAAGTCATTGAGATTTCAATTATAAATGAGTAACCTTTATCGTACTGTAAAGAAACACTACTGAAGTAAATATTCAGTAAAGATATCAAATATATTTGAATAGTTGGAAGAAGCTAATTAAGAAAGTAATTAAGTTAAAAAGCCATTTCCGCTTCTAGTTAGAGATTTTTTAGAAGTCTATCCTATGAGAAAAATGCTTTAGTGTGAGCAAATATATTTCAACCCAATAGTGTGCAAAATTAACCGTTAACTGTGCATTTCAGGTCATGCAATTATTAGTAAAGCTTTTTTGACACCAAAAATGAAACTGTTTATTTTTTAATAATATAAAATGAGTCATTAAATGATTCGATACCTGGTCTTCGTCGTCAACTGCATTTCCTTCTTCACTTATGCGGTCAGCAATTGTCCTCAGCGGATCGTCATCATCCTCTTCATCCATTTCTTCTTCTGATGACGAATCACTCACTCGACTTGCTCCATCTAATTGTGCTAGCTTTTTCAATGTGCCTAGAACACAAACAACAAAAATTAAATTTTGCTACTGGACTTTCACTAACCAGTATATCAAGATAACAAGTGGTTGATTTCGCTGATTAACAACAGAGTAAAGCGTTTTAACCAAACATCAAAAATACCGCATTTTCTTATTTTTTTTTTTTTATTTTCAGATGTGAAAGCAAGAAAAAAATTGCTGGCATACAATAACCATTTCAGATACCATAGCAGTTCCAAATTTTGCAGTTCTGTTTAAACTAATATGAATTCCACTGGCAAGCGGATCTACATTGACGTGATTCAAAAGGTACTGTATAATCAGCTGTTATCTTTATCCTTACATTTTTTGTCGGTTTTTCGCTCTGTGTGCTTGCAATTTGTGCGAGATGAACCTGCTCCTGATGTATTAACAACCAAACTTGTTGCTCCATCAAGCATTTGTATCGTGTCTTCCAGTTTTGGATTAGATTGCCCAGATTGAAGTAACTGTCTGTTTGCGGGTTGATAGACGACAGCGTTATTCAGGGTCACCGGAATTTGTGAACCAGCATTTAAAATCATAACGCTGCTGCCCGTCGGAAGATTTGCTGTCCCACTTCCTGTAAAAAAATGAGAACCAGTCAGTACATGGTACAATTTCATATTTGACAATTCTCGATGCCAGGTTTAGCTAAGGAAATAAACAACAACTCTGGATTTGACAACTGTTCCGAGATTACAAATTTTCATGACCATACACAGCACAATTTAAATAATTAACGATAAAGTTCACTCAAAATCTCACCATGCATCAAAAACTGCTGCCCCCCTTGTTGAATGATTCGTGCTTGACCTTGTCCAGCAGGAAATGTAATCATTCCAGGAGTCATTGTAGCTATCTGCGATGTATTCTGACTCACTGATTGTCGCTGAAATCACAATTTTTATTAAATTTAGATCCAAAATTAATGAATGTATTTACATTGAACACATAGTATAATTCCTTGTCATACAAAAATGCAATTGCCATAGCCAACTTTCAAAAATTGTCACCAATTCATTCCTTGAATGTTTTACTTCGCTTAATGAAAAAAAAAAAAAAAAAACGAAACAGAAGTAAACAAGAATAAACGATCAAGCACTGCTGAAAACCATAAATTAGACTATTCATAATATAAATAAGTCTTCGCTTACATTTTGCTTAACAGAAAGGATGAAACAAAATGAAAAAAGGCAAAAGGTATTAAGCATCTTTCAAAGTCATTATATAGACAAGCCACAATATAAATAAATCGTTAAGTCAATTTCGTCAATTTCACTAAACACATACAAAAAATAAGCATATAAAAATAGGAAAAATATTATGCCTTTTATCACTTAAAAAAAAAAAAAAAAAAAAAGTAATTATATGCCAGCCAAACTCAGCATGCAAATGCAAGTGATTTAGAATGAAAAATTACCTGTATTACAACAGTATTTGGATCACTGTTGATCGGAATATTGGCAGCGCTAATGTACTGTACCTGATGTACAGGCCTTTGTACGCTTGACGTACCACTTGTCTGCATAACCAATGCCGGCTGTGTAACTTGTGACGACGATGATGACGACGACCGTGTTGACTGTTGAACCAATATATGCTTTAAGTACAGTAACTAAATTAGAGATGAAAATTTCTAACAGTGCTTAAAATATATACACTACAGTGCAGATAACCTTCGAGATGCAAAATATCCAGAAATATTGGAAAGTAAATAAAGAAAGAATAGATGTTTAGTATCACTTCTTCATTCCAGAAAGAAGTTAGAAACTGAAGGTCTTGAAACGAAGAAATCATGCAATATCAAAATAAATGGATTAAATATGTCTGTTTGATAATAATTAACTTTCATCATCACGAATAATTCTAACCTTCATGAATCACATATTCATTAGCAATTAAGTCTTGAATCAAAAAAATGAATAAGATTAAATCCTATTTTAATAA